AAGAAATTTGACGGAGAGAATCGGGTGAAGCATCAATCTCCTCAGCCTTGCACACGGAGTCCAGAGGGACAACTTCAGAAAGAAATTCAAATCATGGCAGATCAAAATCCAGACGGGGAAAATCCAGAACGAGAAAGAAAGATTTTACCTGTTATAATTGTGGCAAGAAGGGTCACTTTAAAAGTGATTGTCGAGCACTGAAGAAAAATACCGGCGCACTGGAATCTGCCAACGTGATAGAGGAGACAGGTGATGCCATGATTTTAAGCATCAACAGTCCTATTGAATCATGTATCTTGGATTCAGGGGCATCTTTCCACTCCACCCCATGCCGAGAAATCATGGAAAATTATGTCAGTGGTGATTTTGGGAAGGTTCATCTAGCTGATGATGAAACCTTGAAGATCGTTGGAAAATGAGACATCCGACTAAAGTTGCCAAACCAGACCACCTGGACGCTGAAAAGAGTGAGACATATTCCTGGCCTCAAAAGAAATTTGATTTCTGTAGGACATCTTGATGGTGAAGGATTTAGCATAACCTTTTCAGGCTGTGAATGGAAGATTACCAAAGGAGCACTCGTCATTGCTCGTGGTAAGAAAAATGGTACTCTATATATAACCTCAAATTTAGAGAATATCATTGCAGTAGCAGATGCTGATGGAAAATCAAACCTATGGCACCAAAAGCTTGGCCATATGAGCGAGAAAGGGATGAAGACACTTTTGTCAAAGAGGAAGCTGCTGGATGTAAAGAATGTAGATGTCGGACTATGCGAGGATTGCATCTTTGGCAAATAAAAGAAAGTCAGCTTTGCAAAGATTGGTAAGACACCCAATGCTGAAAAGTTAGAGTTGGTTCATACTGATGTATGGGAACCATCTCCAGTTCCATCTCTTGCAGGCTCATTATATTATGTCACCTTCATCGATGATTCTACAAGGAAGGTGTGGGTTTATTTTCTGAAGAAGAAATCATAAGTCTTTGATACCTTCAGAAAATGGAAGGCCATGGTGGAAAATGAGACTGGTCTAAAATTCAAGCGGTTGAGGTCTGACAATAGAGGAGAGTACAGAAATCGTAGATTCAGAGATTTCTGCGCAAATAATGGGATCAAGATGGAGACAACAATTCCCATGACACCGCAGCAGAATGGCGTAGCAGAGCGCATGAACAGAACTCTTAATGAACGTGCCATAAGCATGAGGATACATGCCGGATTACCCAAATTTCTATGGGCTGAAGCTATTAACACCGCAGCTTACCTGATCAACCGTGGGCCCTCAGTTTCTTTGGATGGCAGAATACCAGAGGAAGTTTGGAGCAAGAAAGAAATAAACCTTTCACACTTAAGAGTGTTTGGTTGTATTTCTTATGTACACATAGATTCTACTGAAAGAAGTAAACTTGATGCCAAGTTCAACAAATGCGCCTTTGTTGGTTATGGTGGTGATGAGTTCGGTTACCGGTTTTGGGATTATGAAAATCGGAAGATCATCAGAAGCAGAGATGTCATTTTCAATGAGAATGTGATGTACAAAGATAGGTCAACTGTAGAATCAAGCAGCTCCAATACCGAAGCTGAAACAAAGGAATTTGATGAGTTCGAGGATATTTCTGGAAATGATGTTTAAATTAGTCCTGAAGCAGTTCAAGAAGAACCAGGCACACTGGAACTAAGACGCTCCTCTAGAATTCCTAAACCAACCCAGCGGTATTCTCCTTCTTTGCACTACTTATTGCTGACTGACAATGGTGAACCAGAGTGCTATGATGAAGCAATGCAAGTGGAGGATTCAATCAAGTGGGAGTTTTCCATGAAAGATGAGATGGACTCGCTTATGTCAAATCAGACGTGGGAATTAGCTGAATTACCACCAGGAAAGAAAGCGCTCCACAATAAGTGGATTTACAGGATAAAAAAAGAGCATGATGGGAGCAAACGCTACAAAGCAAGATTGGTTGTCAAAGGTTTTCAGCAAAAAGAAGGTATTGACTACAATGAAATTTTCTCTCCAGCCGTAAAACTGTCCACAATCAGACTGGTGTTGAAAATTATAGCTACAGAGAATTTACATCTTGAGCAATTAGATGTAAAGACAACTTTCCTTCATGGTGATTTGGAGGAAGAAATCTATATGAGACAGCCAGAAGGCTTCATAGAGGCAGGCAAGAAAAACCTTGTATGCAGGTTGATGAAGAGCTTGTATGGTTTAAAACAAGCTCCTAGACAATGATACAAGAAGTTCGATAGTTTTATGAGTAGTAGTGATTTTACCAGATGCCAAGCAGATCATTGTTTATACATCAAGAGGTTCGACAACAGCTTTATTATTTTATTATTGTATGTTGATGACATGCTCGTTGCAGGCTCAGACATGCAAGAGATTATACGCTTGAAGCAAAAATTGTCGAAGCAGTTTGCTATGAAGGATCTGGGTGCTGCAAAGCAGATTCTTGGGATGAGGATCAAGAGAGACACAAAGTCAGGGACTTTGATATTATCACAGGCTGAGTACATCAACAAAGTACTCTCCAGGTTCAACATGGAAGATGCTAAACCAGTAAGTACACCTTTAGGTGTTCATTTCAGACTCTCCAAAGAACGATCACCAAAGACGGGGGAAGAACGTGCACACATGGTGAAGGTGTCGTATGCCTCAGCAATTGGAAGTCTGATGTATGCCATGGTTTGTACCAGACCAGATATTGCTCAAGCAGTGGGAGCTGTTAGCAGGTACATGAATAATCCGGGCAAGATACACTAGGACGCAGTCAAATGGATCCTCAGATATCTGCGGGGTACCACAAACAAAGCACTTTGTTTCAAAGGTGAAGATACGATATTGACAGGCTATGTAGATACTGACTTAGCCGGAAATGTTGACATCAGAAGGAGCACTACAAGGTATGTCTATACTATAGGAGGAACAGCAGTGAGTTGGGTTTCTCAACTACAGAAGATAGTTACTCTCTCCACAACTGAAGCAGAATATGTCGCTGTTACGGAATCCAGCAAGGAGATGGTTTGGCTCCAAAGTTTCTTGGAAGAGTTGGGCAAGAAACAAGAAAACAATGTCTTGTATTGCGACAGTCAAAGTTCTATACATCTAGCAAAGAATCCGTCTTTTCATTCCAGGACAAAGCACATACAATTGCGATACCATTTTATCCGGTCTCTTCTGGAAGATGGGATTTTGAAACTTGAAAAGATCAGTGGAGCTCAAAATCCGGCAGACATGTTGACAAAGATGGTGACTACAGACAAACTGAAGTTGTATTCAACTTCAGTTGGCATGCTAGAGTAACAAGACTAGAAAAGCTGTTGCATTGATCGAGGTGTGAAGACAGATTAAAATCAGTCTTCAAGTGAGAGATTGTTGAAAGTATTAAAATGGTTTTTCAAGTTTGGTAACCAACTTTGAAAAAATGGTTTTCAAAGTTTGGTAAATGTTTCTTTGAAAATGGTTTTCAAAGTTTGGTAAATGTTTCTTTGAAAAATAGTTTTTCAAAGTTTGGTAGATGTTTGTTGAAAAATGATAATGGGATAATCACAATTAATCTCTAGGCTTTAGGGTATTTACAAGATTAAGTCATTAAATTTCAACTATAAATACCCTAACTCATTTAGCTTCAAAATCATCCCAAAAATCATTTCTTTCTCTCAATACTAGAGAGCGTTCTTGTGAGTAGTGAGTGTTTTGTAAACACATGTAAATTTTCTCTCTTAGTAAAAGATTTGCAGCAGTCCGGAGACGTAAGCAAATTGGCTGAACTCCGTTATCAATTTCGGGTATTATTTTTCCATTTTTATTTCGCATTCTCACTAATCTGGTTATAGGAAAATTACTCGTACTCAGTTTATTTCCTAACAAACTACTTTTTGGCTTTCCAAAAGGACTAGGTCGGTGCTTTTGAAATCAACATTATGTTTTTTATTTGTTGCAATTGTAACGATGTGGCTCAATTCGATTTGTACGCTTTTTTAGACAAAATTCTCCAGATAAAATATTATTTTTCAAGATTTATATTTTATCATTTCTAATTGTTACAAGATATTTAATATTATTTATGGTCATTAAAATAATATTTATGAAAATTAATTATTTTATAGTTGCTATTGGATTTTTTATTATTTTACATTTACTTTAAGCATATAAATAGAGAGTTGATTTCAACTTTTGAGTATCTTCCAAAAATCACATATTCTCTAGTTTCTTGTGGAGGAAAGCAATACCACCTAAGTCCATCAAATTTTTTGGGTGTGCGAAATCTGGAGAATTGTACTAATCTTGGGGATTATTCATCCATTGTAACAATTACACACATCAGAACAAATTCATTTTTAAGGCAGTGAACTACCACAATATGATTATTATCCCGTTTGTATATTTATTTAATATTTTTCAATCAGTGTTAATGTAGCGTTTTACAACCGTTTATTTTCCAACAATCCTCACTCAGTAGCTTTCGTTAGCGATAGTATTTTCTCAATTCTCTTTCAAAGTTTCTTCACCGCCCTCCAATAAACAAGTAATCCAAGTTGATCGAGACAGTTCTTATAGGTAATGAAACAAAGAGGTTTAAGCTATACCTTGAAGCTGGTGGTATTTAGTAGTCATGATCGTGTACATAACACGAGCTGGTGTATAGGGGTGAGTAAGACTCGACTCAAATAATTTGAAATTTTTTTACTCGACTCGATCGAACGTTTACCCCTACTGGTGTATGTTTAACTAAGCCCTGCATCGGTATATGCATGATTGGTACTTAATAGTTTAGAAACAAGCCACACACTATTATAAACCATCATGGTATACGATTGTTTTTCAACAAGAAGCTCCAGTGAAATGACGATTACAAGTATCTTTACTACAATTTATGCCAATGGTGTTGGTCTTATTTTTTTTCGTGCTCTTTCTTACATTGACATTTACAATCAAAATTGAGTATGAATGTAAACCATTTTACACAAATTTGATCCTAACAAAAAATATATTATAATAATATATCCCACAAAGAACTTGCATGTTTATACTACAGACATTAGTCTTTATTTTCTGGTATAGTAATTTCTTGGCTTCTTCATTGGTTGAGAGATTAAAAGGTTGGACCAGCTGCTCGGATCTCCTCAGTCAGCTTGTTGTCCTCGCCGATCTTGTATTCAGTGAAGGTCTCAAAGTTACTCTTAAACAGGCCAGCCAATTTCAACAAAGTGTTCTTGTATGCCTCTTTATCAGCCCACTGCAATCCAAGGACCTAGTTCAGTAAAATCCGAAAACGGTACTCGAAAACAGGTTGGCCAAGGGAAACTTACAGCATTTTCTGGACGCAGGATTTCTGTAGGCACTCCCTCAATCTCATTGGGGATCTCTAAGCCAAACACTTCGGTTTTCACATAAGTTGCATTCCACAGGGTACCAGAGTGAATGGAATCGATGATTTTTCGAGTGTACGGTAGCTTTATACGGTTCCCAGACCCGGCGCTGCACGAAAAGAAACCGAAACTCATTGATTGATTAAACTTTATACAGGAATGGTCAGCATTTACCTTCCACCAGACCAGCCAGTGTTGACAAGCCATCCTGTTGCTCCATGTTTTTGCATTTTCTCAGCAAGCATGGCTGCATACTTAGTTGGATGCAGCATGAGAAATGCTGCTCCAAAGCAAGCTGAGAAAGTTGCTGTTGGCTCCTTAATACCATCTACTGTGCCTGCAACCTAAATGGATCATCAACCGAGTTCAATCGAACGATGCAAGACTCCCAAGCATTGTATAAAACCAACACAGGACATGGGAAAACATGTTTCAGGCTGGGACATAGAAATATATCAGAGCAGTGTAGCCACTAATGAAATGGTACATGGTTTGTGCCAGACTCAGCTTGCTCACAGGTGGAAGAACACCAAAGGCATCACAAGCCAAAAGAATGACATTCTTAGGATGCGGACCGACGCATGGTATCTTGACATTTGGAATGAACTCAATCTGGTAAGCGGCACGAGTGTTCTCTTCGAAGACAGAAAATCGTATTAAAGATCATGTGTAAAATGACTCATTGCCATAATTATTGCATATTATCTTATCTTCCATTACCTGTAACCGATTTGTCCGTATAATCCACCTCTCTTGTATGTTCATCAAATACAACGTTTTCCAGCACTACATAAACAAAGAAAAAAAAGGGTCAATATGAGAACAATGATTGTATCCCAGGTAAAATAATGTAAAGAACGAAGAGTACATAGAGTGATTCACCAGTGCCAAACTTGATGGCATTCCAGATATCAACCTCCTTCTCCTTTGAAAGATCAATGCACTTGGCATAGCAACCACCTTCGATGTTTGACACCCCTTCGTCACTCCAACAATGTTCATCGTCTCCGATCAGAAACCTATTGTGGTCGGTTGAAAGTGTAGTCTTGCCAGTACCTGTTAAGAAAATTATTGCAGAAAAATGATACATATGCATTAAGGCTTCAAGAACAAAGTATTAGCAGACTATCACCAGGGACATGACCTTTCGATCCAACGATACAATACCTGAGAGCCCAAAGAAGAGGGCAACATCTCCATCTTTCCCCATATTGCAGCCAGAATGTAAGGAGAGGATTTGACGCTTCGGCATGAGATAGTGCATGAGACTGAACAGGCCCTTCTTCATTTCGCCGGCGTACTGGGTGCCGAGAATGACCATTTCCTTCCTAGTTAGATTAATGTCTATGCTAGTTGAGGATGTCATATAGTGTGTATAACGGTTACATGGGAACTGTCCAGCATTGTATATGGTGAAATCTGGGGTACCAAAATTCTCTAGCTCTTCTATAGTGGGTCGGATACACCTGCAATCAGCCCGATTATCCGATGGTTACCCTATTCCTCCATGGAAATTCTACAAACGGCAAATAAAACTATAAATTGTTGTTGTTTTGCTTACATATTGTGCATGAACAATGAATGATAGGCTCTACAAGAGACGATTCTGACTTTGATTCTGTTCTTTGGATCCCAGTTCAGGAACTGATCATTCACAAAAACCTGGAAAATCATTTTTTATTTTGATACATTAGGACAAATTAAAGGAAAAACCCAGCATGATTTTTGTATAATTGATTTTAAGCTATATAAAATGAAAAGTTCACCTTCTCTAGAGAATTTAAATAATCCACCGCTCTTTCTCTGTTCACCATGAAGGTATGCTCGTCCATTTCAATGTTGGGTGAGCCCCTGTCGTCCCATTTATTAGTTTCTATTTATCATTCAACACCCAGAAAAAAATAATCTAAATTACTATTATACAGGTCATATTTGTCATGATTGTTGAGTTTATTGGGATCGTATAATGATAAAATTAACCTTCAACGTTTGTTTAAAGTGTAAACTATGCCAATAGTCTTTTTTATGTTTGGTCTGATCGATTTTAATTACCAATTTAAAAATCAAGGGTACATGGTCTCTAACGTTATTGGTCCGTTCGATTTTAATCTCTCAGTCGTTAACTCCAGTTCTATTTTAGTCCCTGAGCTATGTCACATATTAAGGATTAACGATGGAGAAACTTAAATCAGATGGACCAATAATGTTATGGACCATTTACCCTTAATTTTTTAAATTAGTTACCAAAGTTGGACAGACCCTAAACAAAAGGGATTATTCGTATAGTTTACCCTTGCTTAAATGATCATTTTATCTTGTATTTTTTTCTGGAACATTTTAGCTTTCAATGTTTTAATTTGCGGTCAAAATAACTCTTGTTAGGTGAAAATTGTTAGTTACTAACGTAACATTTCAAATGTGTTTAAATTGTTGATATATCATATATCATATCATTCAAAGTGTTAACATGAAATATGTTACATCATCCAAAGTAATCATGTGATATATATCATATCACCAATTAAACACATAAAAATATAACGTCAACAACATGTGTTGATTATTAGTCCCTTAACGACTTCTATTCAACATAGTCTATTTTGATCATAAATTGAAATTTCATAGGCTAAAATGTTCCAAAAAAATTACATGATAAGATAATCTTTTGAACAAACATTAAAGGTTAATTATGTCATTACACAAATATAGTAAGCTCAACAATCACAATAAATATGACGTGCTAATTTTGTCATTATTCGAATCAGATCATATGTAGGTAAAAGAATTTAATTTTCAGATCGAGTGAATAAAAAACTCAACTCTACCCATATCGTCTCTAAGAGTCTAAAAGGAAAGAAAAACTTACTTTCCCCACCAAAGCTCATCTTGGGTGATTTCATCAATAACAACCCTCTTATCTCTCGGAGACCGCCCAGTCTTGGCTCCGGAGAGAGTGGCTAATGCACCAGTGGATGTAAGGAAAGATCCTTTCTCATATTTTAGGGCCTGTTCATACAACTCTGCACCCATACATATAACATAACTCAATCATCATTTCAGTTTAGAAGGCTTTTAATCTTATATAGTTTAGTTTAAACTTAATATAAAAAATTGTTCAAATTATAATTTTTTTCATTTTTATGTCTAAATTTTTTTATCAATCTAGTTGCCTAACACTACAAACATTATTATTTTAAGTATCTCGACTGTAACGAATGTTAAAAGTATTTGTTAAATAGCACGTGCCGAATTCTGATAATTTTAAAAATTTTATTTTAAAAAAACTTAAAAATATAATTATATTTAAAAAAATACTATAATTTCTTTAAAATTATCAAAAAATATTCTTAAAATAATCCCTAAAATCTCTAACCCTAACTTTACTATTTTTCTTTCCGGCTACAACTGTCGCCGCCGTCTTTTCCATATCCCTTGCCGGGCATCATCACCCATACCGTCAGTTTTACTAGACCCTTAAATCCCTAAACACTTCAAATCCGTAATTCTTAAACCCACTATTGCCGCTCGAATTGCAGGATATCGAAGCCACCCATATAATATCCTCTAATTACAGGATATTAAAAGGCATTTTCCGTCCATTTGGAACCACATATTCGAAACCACTTTTGTAGGTTCAAGACGCAGCCGCCATTTACTTTGATCTTAAAAGGGGTTTGGTCGGTAGTGGGGTAACAATTAGGGGATAGTCGACAACAATGACTGTCGATCGATGGGTAGGTGGCCGACGACAGTGGCAACGGTGGGGTGGTTGACGACAATGGCAACGGTGGAGTGTCATTTAATGGAAATTTTTAATAATCGTTATAGTTGGAACACTTAAAATGATAACATTTATAATGTTAGTTACCTAAACTAACGGAAAAAAAAATTTAGTCACCAAAAGAAAAAAATAGTGAAAAAAATAGTATAGTTTAGACAATTTTTTTATATTAATCCTTTAGTTTATATGTAACACCTCCGGGAGCGAGGTTGTACAGAACATGTGTGAATTTCAAAGCACTGTCACTGACGCTAATGACCGGTGCCTCTAGGTGGTGGTGAGACACATGCGCCACCGCCTGAGACTTTCCGCCTTGGGGTTCACCTCTTACCACCTTTGGCCCCGTCCCTCTGGTCCCTGATGCCAAAGATGCACTGCTCCCAGAATAAGTCCACCAATTAATGGTAATCATTTTCATATTTGTAGTAATATTATTTCAAATAATGTGAACGTACGTACCTGATGGACTGGAGCTGCAGCCTCTGGCGTTCGTCCTCCGACAGGTTAGCAAAGGCGGTGGCGTTGGTCCCTTGGAGAGGCGTAGTTGGAGCAGATCTCTTCCTCTGCAATGAGTGAAGCTCATCTAATGTCTGAGCCTTAACCGTTCCATCAACATCATGGGGTATTCCCTTTGCCTTCTCCGTCAGTATACTCTTCAATGGAGTCCTTGACGCCGGCGATGCTCCTCCCGTTTCATTTCCTGCCATTTCTTCTCTATGTTATCACTATATTTACAAAAACTCTTTCCCGGTGCAATAATCTTCCTGGTTTATATAGTTAAAAAAGAAAACAACAACGTTAATTTAGCCGATTTTGATGCTCTAAAAAACCGAAAAGACAAGACTGTCTAAATTTTGAGTTTTCTTTTTTTTGTTTTGTTCATCAATATTTTCCCGAGAAAAACTGTAACAACTCAGACATAATGGATAGAAACCTGTTTTAGTTCTAAAAAAACAAAAGAATCAACGGTAGATGAAAACTAACTTCCATTTTGAGAATGCTCTAGAAGATTGATAAGGTTCTTAAGTTTGCTCCACCATTGGAATGTCCTAGAGAGAAATGAATCGTGGTTGAACGGATTGTGTACTGATAGTGTGGTATGTTGGATAGTTGTGGCTGCTTTCGTTGTTAACAGATTGTTCTTGGTATCGTATTTTCGTACTATTGGAGATAGATTTATGGTCTGATTTTTGAACTGTTTGTTCTGATTATATGTATTCTTTTATTCTATTTAGGACTATGGAAGTTTTTAATGAAACATACAATCAGGGATGAACTTATTCGATTATTCTAATAAAATCATCTTGCCGACCAAAAGATATATATATATTTGTATTCTATATTGATAACCTAGTTTCCCATAAAATGTTAAAAGTTTCTATCTTAAAATTTTAAAAATTCATCTTGTTATATATAATCTTACATTCGTCCCTAATATTAGAGAATATATTATATGGATTAGATACGAATACGATTAAGAAGGTTAGTTCTTATCCAATCTCTAAAACTCTAGTGCATTCTCACCTTTTTTTATTTATTTCTTTAACCTTTCTCTAGAACAAGTTCATTCTTGTCCTTTTTTTTGTTACGTAACTTTTCTCTAGAGCACAAATGCATTATCGCCCTTCTCTTATTGAACAACTAGTATGTTTTTCAAGTTCGAACACCATAAATATCAAAAGTTTAAATGTTCAATATTAAATGATTGAAAGTTATATTTGAACGGATACTATCTTATATTTACTAAAGAAAAGTATTGTGTTTGCAATTACCTGCGTGAAATTAGTAAACCTCATATGGGTTGGGAGGTGTTTGGCCGCCTAATTTATAGCTTTAAGTGCATCCTATTTTCGAATGTGTCAAATAAAAGAACATATATTATGAATTTCTTTTTTTAAAAAATATTAAATCATATCAATTTCAGACACTCATTTTTATCCGAATTTACAAAAAAATATTAAATTATTATATTAGATTATTATTATTATTATTATTATTATTATTATTATTATTATTAATTTACATATTACACTTTTTTGCAGGCCTAAGTTACAAATAAGCCTAGACCCGAAGCCCAACTGCAATTGGAGCCAGACCAGTATCCGACCAGCTAGGGTATAAAAAAAACCCTAAATGTTCATCTCAACAGTCAGCCGCCGCCGTGCACATAATCTAGACCGCGCACGCGCCGCCTCTTTATCTCCCCAATCGACGCGTGAGCCACCACCGACACTCCCACGTTGTCGTCATCACCAAAACCTACGAACAGTGCACCCAAGTTGTCATCAACAGTTCCATTCAACACCAAATCAGTCACAAATTAAATCAAGTCTAAAACCCCATTAAAAAAAGAAGTTAAATCCTGATTTTTTTCGAGATTTAGCAGAGAAAAAATCTAGAAAAAATCATATCCTACCCCTAGATCATCATTTCAGCAAAACAATGAACCATAAAATAAAAGGAGGAGGAAAAAAAAGGACAGATGGGGACATTCGAAAAGAGAAAAAAGGAGGAGAGGGAAAGTATTCTAAAAAAAAGGAAAAAAGAAAACTCAATAGATTCAACAAAACAGAAACCAAATAGGAAAAAAAACCTTACCTCTCATTGCCTGGTGGTTGTGGATCTCATCGGGGGAGAATAAGAGCCTCACCGAAGGTAAAAGGGGTCTTGGTTTTGTGGGTCTCGATTTGGAGTTTGAGTGGGTAGGGGTTGGTTTTTCAGAAAGGGGTGAGTGAAAGGTGAGGTTGAGGGTCGTTTGTATCTTTGTTTTCGAAGCTATCGTCCTCGCCTCACGATGGGGGTCGTAGCTATTTATGTTTTTTCTTCACGGTGGACGAAACTAGAGAATGGGAGGAGAGCTTTGGGCTCTCGTGTTTTGGGGTTGGAACTAATGAGGAACTAAATTTATTTAGGGTTTATTTTCAAGCCTCTTATAACCCATGCGTGAAATGACGACGTTTTGCCAGGGGAGGGTCTGCGTGTTTTTGCTAAATGGGTAAATATCAGAATAGGTCCCCGTAGCTTCGAAATCTTTCTCCTTGTTTCTCACTGTTTGAGGGATAATTACATTTTAGGTCCTTCAAGCTTTTGTAATTTTTGTAATCTGGTCACTATAATGAAATTTCATCATTCCAGTTTTAGCTCTTATTTTATTTTTGTTGTAATTTAGTCCTTATTTGCTTTAAAATATTTTTTTCTTTATATTTGTGCATGGGCCATCTACTTTAGTTTATTTATACATATGCAGTATATTTTCTTATTGGTTCATTTTAGTCACTAGCTACTGTATAAAGGAAATGCATGTTCTATTTATGTTTGTAATCTCTGTACTTTGCTTTGTATGCATTTTGGCCACTGGTTTTAAATTTGTGATTGACTTTGCTTTTATTTCCGTTTTAGTCCTTGCTGTTTGGACTACATTAAGTTTTGGTCCTAAAATTATTACCTAATAAGGGTCTGTAACTAATTATATTTTTTTAATAATATATTATGTGATATTTGTATACTAGACATGACTTGTTATGATGTTATTATTATGTCTCCAAATTTGTTGTTTTTACATGTTGGTCCCTTATTTATGTACATATTAGTATTATTAATTCCACCTTGTTTTATCACCATGTTTTCTAATACAAAAAAATGAGAATTCTTTATTATGAGGGAAATCTACAAAGACTTCTCCCAACTAAAGGGAAGATGTCTTTTTAAGGATTTTCCACATAAATGTTGTTTTATATTCTATAAATTTTATTTATTCCACGTTTATTTATTTCGAGTATTTTTCACCGCTTTTCACTTTTATTTTATGGTATTTTATCTTTACGAAAATTGCGAAATAATATCTTTTGTGAGGGGAATCTATGGGAAAGACTCCTAACTGTAAAGGAAGTGTTTTCCCGAAGGTTATTCACTTAAAAGGGCATTAATTATTCGAAAATTAACACTTTTTAAATAAATTCGAATGAATAAAAGGATTGTAATTTAAATATATTTTCGAGTTTGTAACTCTCAATATTTCAACAATATATAATCGTTTGGGTACCAAAATTTGGGCGTTGTGGGGGTGCTCACCCTTCCCCACACGTAACCGACTCCTGAACTCTTAAAAACGAATCTTTGGTAAAACATAGACCATTTTTTAACATTTAAGGTTTCCAACCTACCTAACTTAATGGTTGGTGGAGACTCTAAAATCAAACTATTTTCCAAACCTAAATTTCATCACATTCCCCAAACTAATTTTTTTAAATCTAACAGATCCCCGCGGGAAACATTATGATAGCTTGCTGAAGACTTCGAGAGTCAGGCCATAAACAATTATACGTTGTTTTATTTTTGGGAATTACAAATTTAAATTTTATTTAATTTACGATCTTTTTATTTATTTTAAGTTTCAACATATTATTTTTTAAACTAATTGATTTTTGATTTTAGTGATTTTTAAATTTGAACAGATTTTGGAATGTGTGAGAGTGTGTGTTTTTTTTTTCATTTTTAAGGGTTTGTGAGTTTCTCCTCACACATAGCACGTATATTTACATACCATAAGCTCTCTTACCAGCTTTGTCCCTTTTAAGTTGAGATGAAAGCTTAGCCTACGTGAGATAATTTGTTTCTCCGCATGGGTTTTAGCTAGTAACCTTTGGGGTTCATATACCTTATGTCTACGTGAGATAAATTGTTTCTCCGCATGGACACAGGGGAATGTATTCTCTCGAATTGAACTCAATCTGCACAAGTCTGTAATGGGTCAGGATGGCAGCCTAAGGAGGCACCAACAAGGAAAATTTTGGTACCCTTTTCCTGTTCAAGCCGAAACCATGTATATACTGAACCGTAGAACGGTCACCCCGATAAAATTCATATCGAACCTCTGTCTGTCAGTAGGTACCGAATAAGTGTACATAAAGGAGAAATGACACTAAACCTCTTCTTTTTACCTGTATTATTTTATTTTTCGAATAAAGCATGCAGACTATATACCATGCGATTAGGATCATTTCATTGAAAATAATTATTTTGGGTAGAAAGCATGTTTGGGTAGGATTGCTATCTAATAAAAGCATGCTCGGGTTGATATCATGATTGGGTATGTGGTATATTTATCTGTAGATATCATCTTTCAACTCTATTGATTATATGTTGATACTAATTTGTTTTTCTTTTTTGTTTGTGTTACTAACTTATTTCTTTTCTTTTGTTTGTGTCATTTTTCATCCTTCTTGCATTTCAGAGGATCATCATTTCTGCATCTGTATTTGCATCTTTGCATTATGCATGATCATCATAAATAAAAGAAAGGTGTTGATTAACCAAGTAATCATCAGATTACAAGAGTGACCATTAAAATGGAAAAAAGTTTTCATAACAAGGAAGAACCCAATTTGACAGTCCAAGCTTGTTCTGAATAAACGGAAAGGGCAAAAGGAGATAGTTTTCTGGGGATTATGTATCATATATGTCCACAGATGTCAATCTCCATTTCAATAAGAATGATTTACAAAAGCTGATAGAGATTTGGGAGAGTAGCTACCAATGAGAAGTTTTACAAGAAATAGGGTGACATGACTCAACCCCTCTATGCAAAGATAGATGAACCATTGCTTAAATATCTGATCCAATGTCAGAATTTTGCATACAATTACTTCACTTTTAACCGACAAGCTTTGACACCAACAATAGAAGAATATAATGCTGTATTTAACTTTGAAAGCCTCCAGGTAGATAGAATTCATTCC